AAGTGGCTGAATTCAACCGTCTATGTCAGGTAACTGAAAATGAAAAAAAAAAAAAGTGAGAAAATGATTTTTAGAAGCCAAACAGCAAAGCAATCCACAGCACGTTATTGAAAAAGAAAAAGCTTGTATTTTAATTGTGCAGTTAATGGAAGATGCTCATTATCACAGTATCACAAGGCCGTATATTATTAATACAGAAAAGCTGAGAAAACGGAGAGAATTGAAAATGACTCCACTGCATTTTGTCGCACAGGATGTTTCTTCTGCTGCTTTATGTAGTTTGATAGCAGAGAAACCACGAATAAAGTCACCATTGCAAGCCTTGATGGTGAATATTTTCATGGACCTACCATGGTGCTAATGGGGCACTGATACATCTTACGGAGATTGCTGTAAGCTCACCGTAGCATCAGACAGGCGATAGTTTACTCAGGCCGCATTTTAGAAGACTTCTCAACAATTAAAATGAAAGCTGAAATCCTGGAAAGGAAAAGGAGACCCACGGAATGAAAAAAAGGGACTAAATATTGCTTGATAGCAGTGTGATTAAAGCATTCACCTGGGGAATAAGAGAATTGGTGAATGTTTCATATAAAACAGACATTCAAGGCTCGAAGTCAGGTCATCTACCTGCCAGAAGAAAAGCATAGTAACAAATTCTCAAGTTACATCCAAGCTAAATGGTCCCCCCAAATACTTCATCCTGTGGACCCAGAATCAAAAGTGATCAAGTTATCACTATCCAACTGAGTTGCAATTAATATTCCTGCACATATTCATATCCCAAACAAAAACTTTTTGTTTAAGCTACTTTCATTCTACATATAACCCTCATGGAGGTTTTTCATGTTGGGGGTTTTTTATGTTGTAATTCTTCTACCCTGAGAACACGGGCCTATCAGTTACCATGCTCAGCTGATGCCATGTCACATGCGAAGCGTTTGTGAGAGTATTGCTTTGATGTTTAACTCTCATGGAAGAGAGTACAGTCCAATTCTTGATCTGTTATCTTATAGGAATGGATATTTTTAGACAGCAATCGTCATTACCGACCATCCTTACATGATGGTTAAGTGTAACTGGCGTCAGACACAGCCAAGTCGGTGGTGATGAAGCAGGTCTGAGGTGAAGCCAGAAAGTCATGTCCATGGGTCAGGGTCTGGGTCAGTGGGACACATGACCAGGCATGGGCACAGCTACAACATCCACTGCAGCGGACCTCCGGTGGGGGCCAGGCACGAGAGCATCGGCTTAAGAGTCACTCTAAGTGAAGAAAAGGCAAAGCTCCACTGAGGCTTCTTCTAACTCCTCCTTTGAAGGCCACCAGCTGTTTTACTTCTCATCTGGTCCTGAACCCAAGCAGCCAAACCTCAGAAAGGGTAATGATGGTGAGGATGCTCTCAGAACCCTTACAGGCACGTTCAGTTTCCCACATTGTCTTCAGAACGAAAGAATCTCTGCTCTTCCAGTGGAAAATAACGTTAACCTTGGCATCGGCAAAGGCCCAGGAAACACTACAGGTTACATTGCTTTCTGGTTCACTTGATGGATAAATTATCAGTGGAGCAAATATAATCTCACCGGTTTGAAGCAGGAAAAGACTTAAAATATCTTCCAGGCACAACAGAAATGATGCTAAGATCGCTCCAAACTTCTAATATGCAATAAGCGTTTCACTCTTAAGTTCCAAAGGATGAGATTCACCTCTTCTAACTGAGGGAACAGTTCACACACCTAAAGGTAGATCTGTGATGTCATTTGGGAAGCCCTAGGGCACATTGTCCAGCCTCTGGCTCTCACTCCAGGGGGTCGCAACTCTTCCACGGTCCTGTGTCAGACTGGTCACTCCAAGCTCTTTTTGTAGTTAATGGGGAGAGAGGCAGCTGCAGAGAATGATTTATCTGGCATACTTTAAATTTCTGTTTTAAGATGAGATTAACCACCCTGTAGAGGTGCTTCTTTCTCTCCACCAGTGATAAAAGGAGCCTGTCTGAGACCATAATCTCTAGCTTTGGGACACATAAACCAGAGCAGATAAATTCCACCCACTCTTGTCTCCTGTGTCTGACCTGGAGGGAAAAGCAAAGATATCCAACAGGCAATAACTTCCCACTAGCAATGAAATGATCATTCCTGGCATCAGTTGCAGTGTCCTAAAGCTCCTGTACCAAAATCTTATTCACTGGCCTATTCTTTTAAAAAGACAATGGCATTCGGTCCAATACTTAGCCCCCTGCATGGCTTGAGCCTCACACTAAGCACGGCTTGCAAGAGGGATGGAGATAGGTATAGTACTGTATTATTTTCACATAAGCCTCTTGCTCCAGTGGCTGGTTATGAATCTTTTCACATCCCAAGACAACATAAGTCACCAGTACCTCAGTGTAACGCTTTATCTCCATTAGGAAGTTAAACAGAGAGCCCAGCTCATGATTGTCATGTAGCAACTACCGTTTTTGTCCTTAGTAATTTAAAAGAAGTAGAACTGTGAGAGATACGACAAGCCCTACTCCTTCCTGCAGGGCTAAGCCAACTGCTGTGATATTGGCAGGCGTTTTGTCCTTGACTTTCAAGGGCATTGACCGATCTCTTTGGGCTCTACTTGGAAGCTGACAGTCTCATCATTTATCAATCTCCAGGAAATATGGTGCTAATTTTCCTGGCAAATTTTTCTCAAGTGTGAATAGAGGATTTTCTGGCTTAGCTGAATTCCAGAGTGCTTTTAGGAAAACAATAGATCTTGATTTAAAAGTGGTTAGAGAAAAAGCACGTACCCCATTGCCCCCAGTAAATTGTTTCCCTGCTTGCTGTCACTGTTAAAAATGCATACTTACGTCTAGTCTGACCTTGCCCTGAGTCCTTGCCCAGCTACTGGCTATTTTTTTGTCTGCTAGCCTGAAAAGGTCTGTGCCATCCATTGGTTGCGACGTAGCTGTGGCACGTGAAATCCTGCTGCCCTGAACAGCCGGGCAGACCCAGCTGTGTGCTTTCCAAATGTGGTATGTTACCCACCTGCGAGCTGCCAATGTTGTGCTGCCAATAACACCATATGGGCACCTTGCTTTCCTTTTGTAAGACAAGTAAAAGCTCGGTTACCCTCAGCTTGTTGCTGACCTTCACGGAAGAGCAAGGATAAAAGCATCTTGATTGCTTCCCCAATTACATGTTATTACAATTTCACGTTGTTTTAGGCAATTCACTTCAGCTTCAGGTGTCTCGTCTGTTGTGACATTTAGATGGCCCTGAATGTGATTCCACTACACCACCTCCGCAGCAAGCTGTTTAAGGGGAGTGATATTTTTGGCAGCAAAATTCAGCAAAGGGATAGAGGAGCTGCTACACTTTCCTTGGTAACTTTACACCAACCTCAAAACACTGAGAAAGGTGTTTTACTACTTTCCTTTTTCTCTTTTGCAATATGAAGAGGTCATGCAGAGCTTGTTCCTGGTTAACGTGATCCCTCCTTACTTAGGAGAGGCTGGACAGGTACAGGACAAACTTTTAGAGAGTAAAATTTACACCAGCAAATGGTCTGTGTGATGTGTTGTGAAGGCTGTCTGCAAAATGGTTTTACTCCTGGTGAATGAGAAATGCTCACAGTTGGAACCAAACATACAGATTGTTTCTCTCATTTCCTTGGATTAGTCCCAAAGGTCTAATACATTGCTCATGGTGATACAAAGCCAGAGGAGATTATCTGACTTTTGAAGTGTACAGAAAGCTGGATGCTTGCTCCTTTCTCATAGCCTTGATGCAGCGTAGGGGAACTGCAGATAAAATAAGAGACACAGCATGTAAAACTGATCATACAACCTCTTTCCAAGCACAAGGCTCTGCCTGCCTGCAGAACCCTTTCCATAAGGTATATAGATGAGGTTAAGAACTTAGGTAGGTTGTAAATTTGAGCTTTTATTTAGAATAGAAGAATCCCTTGAACTATTTTAAAGATGCCCGCAAAAAAGCAACTCAAAAGTTCAGAGAGTCCATGAGATCTCATGCTTCTTGACATGTTTTTTTGGACCTATGGGCCAACTAATTTTATGATTACCTGTTTCCGAGTTTTACTGATCTTTTCCCTGAAGTTGCTGCTTTGTTGTTGTCAGAAGTGGTACATGGATGAAGCAATGAGCTGCTCAAGCCTGTGAATTCCTAGTCTAGGAAACCAACCAATAGTGATTTCATTACAATGAATTGTCTGAATCATGATTAGATTTGCAGATGGAAATTCTGAAATAATGTATAGGTTTAAGCATGAAGGGAAAATATTTCTTACTAGCAGTAAAAGCATCAGCTGCATCCTTAACACATGTAAAGAAGCCTAGCTCATGGAAAGAAGCGTGATGGAACAGTAAGAGCATGATGGGGGGGTTAGGAGATCTGGGTTCAATTCTTGGCTTGCGCTAAATGGATTTGGATGAAAGTCAGTTAAGGCATATATTGAGCTCTTGTTCTGGATCTATTTTGAAGGGTTTACAGCGTTTCCATGCCAAATTCCTCATTGCTTTATTCAGCTGGAGGTCCACAGCCCCAGCATCTACCTACCACAGAAATGAATGGCTAAGACGTGTTGTCAGGAACCTCTAGCAATAACACACTGTTGAAGGGCGACAGTACATCTTAATTGCTGCTCTCATTTCCAAAGAGATAATGAATTTAAGTTGTTGATGCTCTGATGCTCAGAAACACCAGTGGCATATATAGTTTAAGGCAATGGTTTACATTGGCTTTGGTGGGAAGGACACGCTCAGTCCTTTACACATATCTCAGCTGAAGAGTGGTATTTCTTTATTTTCAGGTAACTCAATTGCTTTAGACTGTGTGACCATATCCCTCGGGCGGGTACTTCCACTGATATAAACGGCTACATGTTCCCACAGGAAGAAACTCTTCTGAAATTAATTCTTCTTCCTGCTGTCTCCCCACTGTAAATGGGCCGGCCTGTACTAGACAGACATCTGCTGACTAAACTAATACTCTTGCTTCCCTCTCTCTTTTCCCAGTTATCACGCTCTGCTGTATCTTCAAGTGCCGGATTCCCCGGACAAGGAAAGAGATTGAGGCACGATATGCTCAACGGCAAGCAGCCAAGACATATGCAGACAAACTGGAGACTGTGCCACCGCTCAACGAGCTGACAGAGATCCCTGGAGGTACTTCCCACGCCCACACCTACACATGCGACCCATCTCTTCTTTTGGGGCTTTCTGTATGCATGAATGCAAAGGGCTAGGTCCTCCCTTAGTGTAAATCAGTGTGGCTCCTTGGGCACGACCATTAAGATATTGCCATGACTTGGTAAACACTTCCCATTCGCGTGCACTAAACCTGCAGCATTTGTGGCAGCAGGCATGGCCATTTAGATGAAAGGGACAGTTTCTCCATTGGTACAAGTCAGGGTCATTCCTTTCAAGTTCATGTTTAAAATTTCCAGAGAGTCTGATTCATTTTAAAGGGCCAGTTCCTGGATTGGGGGAGGGGGAGGTGTCAGTAGGAAGAAAAAGAGTTGTTAGAGTTTCGCATTACCCATAAATGGCTTGCCCCATTTGGATGGCCAAGAGTATTTCTGTCACTGGTCTCCGCTCCTCTCACTCATTTTTCCTGATTCTGTACCCTAGGCTCTACTGAAACTCTCCTAACTCTCTCTGGTCATGTCCAGTCCAGACCTCTCAACTCCTTGCCTGTGGTGAAAGAAGAAGATGAAATGACCCTGCAAGGAAATTAGGGGACTGCCTTCCCGTCTGTCTGTCTATGGCTTCTCTTTTCTAATGAGATCCATCATACCTTGGACACTGCTTCTCAGTTCCCTTTCTGCGTTTCACCTCTGTTTTCTCAATAACTTTTTATAATTCTTTTTTTCTCTTTCCTGTGTCTCTGCAAGCCCTGGGGTCTGTAGCTACATGGAAACTGGGAGTTTCCTTGACTCAAAAAGTGATGCTTCAGTCCGTGAAACTGGCCAAAGAGGCAGATAACATAATTGTAGAAATTTAGTCCTACACCAGCAAAATACAGAACTAAGTGCTTAACAGTAGGAACTTGCACATACCTCAGTATTTCAGAGGTCTTCAGACATCTGACTGTGCCTGTACTACTATATATACTGAGGATGGCCAGACCACTCTCTGGAGCTGAACCCAATTGGCATGAATAAGCCCTTGTCCCTACAGTTAAATTCTCTTAACCTACTTTAAAGTCAAAGGTCATCCAAAAGTCTAGTTAATGCACTCTTACAAGTATGAGCAATCGCACATGGATGTGCTTAGTATTGTATCCTTCGATTTCCTGTCCAAAAGACCAAATTCTAACTCTGTAAGGACCAGCTATCAGTAGATCCCAGAGGGTGTGAAGGATCATGCCTGTAGATAGCAGAAAGCCAAATTCACTCATTTGCTGCTGCATCCTCTTCCTGCCTAGCTGTTACTTCTGGAAAACCAATAAATTAAGGATGAGAATATCCAGAAGAGACAGAAAGGGTATTTGGGCAGCAGAATGGCCGCTTCACCCCAGAACGCTAATAAAGTGTGATCTCCTGTGAGCAGCCTTTACATCCCACAAACATGTACATGTACTCCATCCAAAGACTGGCTATTTTGGTGTAGATTTAATCAGACCATGGTAAATTATTGCAGCATGAACTCCTGAATAAATTACCACAAGAAAGCAATTTATGGGAAGTCAGCTGCACCATAAAAACTACCTAAAATTTATCCAGTTAAATGTGTCAGTTGAATAGTTGACCACACTTTGACCTTTTGAGAATCCCAGAATTATGGTCCTGGGACTGTGCAGGAGGAGGTCTGGATCCACCACAGGAGGCTGGTGGATAACATATTGCTGAGTGGCTGCTGATGTCTGGTAATGGCTCGTGAATACATGTGCTCTGAAGCTCCTAGTCCTCTGGGGTCGGATATAAATCTGCCCAAGTTGCCCTGAAGGAACTGGTACTGGGGTGGGAGTCATCTAACCACAAGTACGTTACTCACGTCTATAGAGAAGTCTGCATCAGCACTAGTTGTCTCAACTTTATCCCATTATCCACGGTGGAAAATAAAAAGGACGTGATTCCTGTCATGGTAGGGGAGGTGCTAAAGTGGAAGAGGTAAACTGTGCCTTAAAAATACCTGTATGTCTCCAATCTTGGGGACCCAAAAGGACTGACTCAGCTGTCAGCGCCTGAAGTGTTAGATGCAAAAGCTATGTGTGATCAAAGCCGCTGGTTTGCCCTCCTTAGAGATTAGTGTGCATCCTGTCCCCAAAAAAGTTTCACTACATGATTTAGGCATTGCAATGGAAAGTATGCAAACCTTCGGGCTTCATCTCTGTGCTGCTATTTTCATCTGTACAGAGCGTGATGCTCTGCCATGTCGCCCTACTGACATTTGGCAACTCACCTTGATTTATGCACTCATGAAATATAATGTATGTGTCAACTATTTATATACCTATACTGTGACAACCCCTGGTAGACCCAGTCAAGGCCAGGGAGATGACTTGAGTGATTTTAATTACTGAGTGGCCATTAAATGCTTTAAAGATTTCTGTAAGTGTCAAATGCTGTTAATCATGAATGTATTACAATGCTTAAATACTCTCATTTCTTGGCATTATTTTACCCTACTTCACATTTACTATGATGGAATATTCTAACTGCCAAATGGCCCTCCATGCACTTTTTTGAGTGTCGTATATGGCAAGTCCTTTTACTGGACATAAATAAAATGTACTTTAGGGTTCAGTGTATAAAATGTTATATACAAATTGATTCATTTGTGCTCTGTTTCCCAGTCTGTGGGATAAGTACAAGAAGGACTTGGCCTTTGCTTTAGGTGGAGAGGTACAATCTGGGTCCATTGCCTGGGAGATCTTCAAGTATTCTGGTCTGAGGCTGCTCCAGCTGACATTTTTGGGAGTTCACCTGGTTCCTACCATATTTTTCCAGGAAGCGGACAATGTGGGGTTTAGGGTTTTTTTTATTCTTCCCTCTCCTTTTTTTTTTATATGAAATGTCAGGATTTCCCCTGTGGTTGTAAGAAAGAGTCTGTATTGTTCTACTCCCATTGGTATGTACAAATGAATTGCCGGTTCCCAAGGTCAAAGGATGATATTTCATTTTAGTGTGCACACTGAAGCAATATTTTAGGTAAAGGCAACAAATTCAGGTTTGGTTCGCACCTGTAATACATTGCTGCAATTTGAAAGTGACACTACAGACATCCATAGCAATGGGAGACCTGGGGCTACTTAAACAGATTGGAGTCCAATGGTAAGGGTTGAGACATCTCACCAAAGGCCCGTACCAAATTACCTCCTAAGCCAGTTCACTGTCATCCTTCCTTAGCCTGTGACAAACGTGAAATAATTTGACTTAGCCTAGGTGCCAGCTGAAGAAAGCTAAACGGTGACTGATCATCCTCCGTTTGCTGAGGTCACTCCCAGGACATTGCTACATCTTGGCTGATTTTAATTATTAAGTTGTGTTAACATGGTTATCTATTTACATTTCTGAGTCCTATATTGGGGATTTTCAGAGAAGGAGGTCATGGGAAACTTAACACATTTTCACTTGTTTTTGCAAAACTTTATACTCTGCTGGTCTTGAGCAAAGGAAAAACTTTCCATAAGAAATATATGAAATATGATCTGTGTTTAAGTGTCAAGTTGCAGCTTGAGATGAGAGTTCAGTGCATCAAGGTCTGAGGTCAGAAATACTTTTGAGAAAATGAACCACTTATAGTAGAAGAAAAATAAGAAAGATGAGGAAAAGTTTTCTTCTACCAAATCCTTTGTCAGAATAATTAAAGTCTGCAGAGCCAGTGTAATACTTACGAGTCTTCTCACCTGAAATGTGGGCACTCAATCCAAGATATTCCGAAGTAAAAATATTTCATAAGTAAAGTTTCCTGTAACTAATATGGTTTGTGTGTTAAAACAGACCAAAGCTCTGTACCAAAACAGAGCTTACTATGCACTAGAGTTAATTGCTATATGCCCATGGTATGTTGCTGCCATTAATTACAGTGGTACAGGTAGGAAGCCGGTTCCACGGTGACTGGATGTGGACAGGACATAAGCTAAGCCTAATGTGTAGGCCTGTGCTGGGCAAGCCATCTTCTGCTTGTCTGTTTCTGAGAGCAAAGATCCCCAGCAGAATCCCTACTGTCCACTCTCAGCTGCAGGAGACATACCCCGTACAGGAAAACAAAGAATTAGAAAAGCCAACCAACCAAAAACCCAAACCCAAGCCAGGTCTGTACTGAACTGCATGAGAGATGTTTCTGTTCCTTCTTGTGGAAGGAGATGACTCCACATTGAATGTCATTGTTGGGAAATGCTTATGGCCCGTGCTTATAATGTTCATGGATCAGTTCCTACCAACAGGAGCCATTTCCTCTAATACATCCACAACTCAGCTCTTGAAATTACCAGTTCTGCTTTATCCCATTTGTCTATCTTCTCAAAACAAAGACGTGAAAAGCTGGTAGTCAGTGAGGAAAGCAGCTGTACGGACAAAGCCCCAGTAGAAGTATTTTCCCTTTGTCCAGGATTTGCCAGCGGGGAGCAGGAGTTTTGCCCTCTCCCTGGCTAGTGTCAACCCAAGTTAACTGCTTTCCTGTTTTCTTTTTCCATCCTTGCATACAGCTCAGGCTGCAGAAGAAAAAAAAGAAGTTCCCACTGTATCTGGAGAAGTGGACAAGGCTCAGGGTAAGAAAGATGGATCCAAAGGGTCCAAGAAGAAGGATGGTGAAAAGGACCAGAAAGAAGGATCCAAGAAAGAAGGGAAGGATGGGGCCAAAAAGAAAGAAGGAGAAAAGGGAGAAAAGGGAGAAAAGGGAGAAAAGGGGGGAAAGGGGGGAAAGGGGGAAAAGGACACTACTGACAAGAAACAAGATGGTGGGAAGAAAGGTGAAAAAGAAGGCGAAGCGGTAAAATCAGGAGGAAGCACCAAAACTAATGGCAAGGCTGGTGGGAATGCCAAAGCCCCGGCAAAGAAGAAGTGACCTTGCTAAAAGACAGTGCTGGCAGCCTTTCAGGGAGGACACTGTCAAATTCCTGTGAGTAGAGCACTGGGAGCAGATAGGACATGCTGTCGCCACATACACAGGCTGTTGAGTGCCACTGGACGTATGGATTTATTACCTTTTGAAGATCGAGTCACTGTTCTTTCGTCCACCAAAGGAAAACCTGGCCATTTGGCTAGACAGTATCTTGTAAATAAAATGCACTGTGCAGAGCTACATGATAACGACAGCTGGAACCAAACTACAACCTGGAGTGAGAATCAGGACTCTGGATAAGCATGGAAATGCAGAGATGAAGATCTAAACTCATGGGAGAAAATGATTCGTTTAAAATTTGTTCTTCTTGAGGACCTTAAGGAGTTTGATACGTATTTACTAGCACTCATCTCCTCCTCAATAGGATTTGCATGTGGGTAATTTTAGGGATTAAGTAAATTCTTGATGCTAAAACCCAAAGAATGGAGTTTTCTAACTCATAGGTCATGTGGTTTCTGAGAAGTGGCTTGGACACATGGGAGAAAGCTTTCCTTCCTTCCCAGATGCCTCTTTCTCTGGACTGCTGAAGGAAATACAAAGAACTGCATATCTCCCCGAAGATTTATCCACCTTTTCCTCTTTTCTGATGAAAGACATATAAATCAAGCTGTAGGAGGATGTGCACAGAATAAAAAAAGCAAGCTGCATCTGCGCTGCTGTAGGCAGTAGC